AAAATTTTACCATTCATACAAAGTAATGATTTTACTTATATTTTGTCTGACAAATACCTAGATTTTTCAAAAATATGGTAAGAAATAAAAAGCAACATTACTGTGGTACCTAAAGGCAGGTGTGATCACGTAGTATGCACAAATCATATGAAAAATGTATTTTAAAATGGTTTTATAATAACACATTTTTGATGATTTCCAAGTACCTAATTTTCACTAATAATTATAACACTTTGTATGAATTAATAAGACTGATTTTTTGCAGCTAAAAGTGCGTTTTGACTAACGCCCTTGGTCAAAAGCACTTTTGACTGGAAAAATCAGTCAAAAGTGACGTTGACCAAGAGCATCAGTCAAAACCACTTTTGACTGATTTTTGCGGTCAAAAGTGGTTTTGACCGATTATAAGTTTTGACTGTAACATAATTAGGTATGTAAGTACGATGACAATTGAAAGAATGGAGAAGTTTCCAATTTAAAATATAGTAGTTTTTAATTTTTCGCCAGCTCAGATTCTTAGTAAAATTGTGTAACCTTTTTTGACATTATCTCAGACCTGGCCATATACAAAAAGAAAAAGAAGACTTCTTTATTAGGAAAACATACAGCTTATATTATGATACAGGTAGAATAAAAAAAACTTCAGTGGCGTCTTTTTAGTTTTGGTCCATTCAGTGAAATATAATATTTTCAACATCACGAAACTTCTCCATGCATTGTTGTCTAACCCCTTTGGTACAACGTCCACTTCATACAATTAATTAAATTACTGTCCCAGTTACTGGGTNTTAAAAAGTGGCACGCTCGGCTTCATACAATTTTTGACACATGCTGCATCTATTCATATCTGTGAAAAGAAGACTTTGACATGAAGTGTCATTGAAACTAGAAGGGGTCACGGACGGCACCGCCTATGTTTGAGTTCCACGTGAAAATATGTAGGTTATTTAAATAATTAATTACTCAGCCATTTCTTGAAGGATTTATTTATTTATTTATTTTCTTTATTAGGGAAACATACAGCTTATATTATGATACAGGTAGAATAAAAAAAACTTCAGTGGCGTCTTTTTAGTTTTGGTCTATAATAATTTAATCCCATTCAGTGAAATATAATATTTTCAACATCACGAAACTTCTCTATGCATTGTCTAACCCCTTTGGTACAACGTCCACTTCATACAATTAATTAAATTACTGTCCCAGTTACTGGGTGAAAAAATATTTAAAAATTCAATCCAGCGACTTGGTCCGCGAGCCAAGCTAAAAGTGGGCCAAGTCACTGGAAGACTCCAAAAATTGTACAAAAAAAAGTAAAAATAACTATTCCGTTACCTATTTATTTTTTATTTGTGTTTATGTGGAGTCGCGTCGAGGCCGGCTAACGTAATGTTTCTTAACCTTGGCATTTGTCAGGCTCAATGTCATAATATTAGTAAGATCTAATACATAATATGTTTCGTAAAGTTCATATGGATACCTGAATAATATTAAAATAGATGTAGTAGGAGATGCACTATTTATTATGTTTGAATTTACCGACTATTAGCGCGATTCTTAAAAGTTAAAATAATATATGTATTTACGGCGAACGGTGTTGCACTCTAGTCTAGGGGACAACTACGGTTTAGTTAGTACCTCCTACTACCCAGAAACGGGTCTACTTATTTAGATTTAACGTTAAAAATATGGGAATTATCCATCTTTCACCATTCGAAAGCTACATTATCCACGAGTAACATAGGCTAAATTTTATATTGGAAAAAAATAGGGTTCCGTAAAATATGTAGATAATGTAGTCCACGCGCGCGAAGCCGCGGACAGAAAGCTAGATATCAATAAATGACTATCATTTACGGAATAAACGGTGCACTGTGCACACACTTTAGGTATGACGATTGAGTGACACAAACATGGTAGATACGAAATGCCTCGCTATGTGTGGCAATGTGGTCAGCCTTTTGGGCACCTTCCCCCAAGAGAGCGATTTGAATGTATTTTTAACTGACTTCAAAAAAGGAGGAGGTTATATTATGTTCGACTGTATGTATTTTTTTTTCTATGTATGTTCACCGATTACTCCGTCATCGTGGACCGATTTTCAAAATTCTTTTTTTGTTCGATAGGGTACACTCTTGAGGTGGTCCCATTGTCACCAAGTTAGGATCTGATGATGGGATCCTAGGGAAATCGAGGGCAACCCTCAAGTTTTATAGGCACGTATATCGTTTTTCAAACTTTTTCTTAAGTTAATCAAGTATGTGCTCCTGGATATCATCATCTCATATTGATGAGCTGATGATAGAAGGTAAAACTCCTTAATGCTTAGGAGTTGGATAATTCTTTTAATTTTATAGATAAGTATAGTTTCTAAAGTTATTCAAATGTTTGCATCAGATAGTCATCATCTCATCATGATGAACTGGTCATGGTAGGTACAAGTTTCTTAACCTTGGCATTTGTCAGGCTCAATGTCATAATATTAGTAAGATCTAATACATAATATGTTTCGTAAAGTTCATATGGATACCTGAATAATATTAAAATAGATGTAGTAGGAGATGCACTATTTATTATGTTTGAATTTACCGACTATTAGCGCGATTCTTAAAAGTTAAAATAATATATGTATTTACGGCGAACGGTGTTGCACTCTAGTCTAGGGGACAACTACGGTTTAGTTAGTACCTCCTACTACCCAGAAACGGGTCTACTTATTTAGATTTAACGTTAAAAATATGGGAATTATCCATCTTTCACCATTCGAAAGCTACATTTTCCACGAGTAACATAGGCTAAATTTTATATTGGAAAAAAATAGGGTTCCGTAAAATATGTAGATAATGTAGTCCACGCGCGCGAAGCCGCGGGCAGAAAGCTAGATATCAATAAATGACTATCATTTACGGAATAAACGGTGCACTGTGCACACACTTTAGGTATGACGATTGAGTGACACAAACATGGTAGATACGAAATGCCTCGCTATGTGTGGCAATGTGGTCAGCCTTTTGGGCACCTTCCCCCAAGAGAGCGATTTGAATGTATTTTTAACTGACTTCAAAAAAGGAGGAGGTTATATTATGTTCGACTGTATGTATTTTTTTTTCTATGTATGTTCACCGATTACTCCGTCATCGTGGACCGATTTTCAAAATTCTTTTTTTGTTCAATAGGGTACACTCTTGAGGTGGTCCCATTGTCACCAAGTTAGGATCTGATGATGGGATCCTAGGGAAATCGAGGGCAACCCTCAAGTTTTATAGGCACGTATATCGTTTTTCAAACTTTTTCTTAAGTTAATCAAGTATGTGCTCCTGGATATCATCATCTCATATTGATGAGCTGATGATAGAAGGTAAAACTCCTTAATGCTTAGGAGTTGGATGATAATTCTTTTAATTTTATAGATAAGTATAGTTTCTAAAGTTATTCAAATGTTTGCATCAGATAGTCATCATCTCATCATGATGAACTGGTCATGGTAGGTACAACTCCTTAACGCTTAGGAGTTGGAGGATAATTCTTCATATATTATAGGTACAAATAGACCAACAGTTGTATTTTTTCATGTTTTTAAGGTGGGTTGACGGTTTAAGGATTTTTTAGGTTGCCGATATGGTAACCTGTATTTTGTAGGGAATATTATTTTACACTTGTCATGAAGAATATGGTCTCAATGTAGGCTGCCTACCTTCAGTGGTAACATCAAGGAAATAATCAGTTAAACTAAAAAGCATGAAATAAATTAATTTTAACAAGAAAATTTAAACCAACTCCGAGAATATCAATCATGGTATACATTGTCCTAATAAATAAATAATGTAATTATTTTCTACTTTTTAGTGCAGGTTTTTTGGAGTCGGTTTTTTTATAAAACTTATTACATATTTTAATTTTTACTTTTATTAATTTTGATATTGTTTAGTTCAGTAGTTAAATTAGTTGTTAATATTTAGTTGTTTAAATATAAAAGAAAGAAAAGCAATTTAAAAATAAATGGGTTTAATAGAATAACATTCAAGGAAGATCTTGAGTTGAGTGAGTTATTGTCATAAACTGTTGCTGATTTCAAAACTTCTTAGAACATTGATTTGGGAGGTAGAGCATGATTGTTTTATTATTAAATATTGTTTTCTTTGTTATTGTTGAAATAATAGATTCGATGTCGGTATTCTCAATCGCGTACCTATTGGTGATATTTGAGACTGTCAAACAACAAGCATATAAATGTACATTAATGAAGGCATTGCTCATTAGGTTGTTCGTTGCATGACGATGCCTTCACGTGTCGTTGATCACCAGGCTCCTAATCGCTCGATCTCGGCGAGTAAATAAGGAAAACAGAGATTGCGAACAGGTCTACCCCAACAGTTAGGTATCTGTTGACCGGCGTTCTAAACAAAAACATTTTTCTCTGCTTAGAGGCCCGTTTTCCAACAAGGTTAAAAGGCTATTAACAAAGGGAAGTCTCCGTTCCGTCCGTTGTAGGATACTTAATTTTACACAGACAGGCTATACAGGGTGGAAACGATAAGTGATCTCACTCGATTATTTCTAAACTATACAAGATATACAAAAACTGCTTACTGATCCTAAAAGTGCTTCATGAGCTCTATCCAACGGTACCAATAATAGGTTACATAATAAATTGGACCTATCTGAAAATTCAATGTTTCCAGCCTCCATACATTTAGTAAAACCTCATAATATTAAAAACTATACAAGATATCCAAAAACTGGTAACTGATCCTGAAAGTGCTTCACGAGTTCTATCCAATGGTACCAATAATAAGTTATTTTATAAAATAAACTGGATCTATTCGAAAATTTAATGTTTTCAGCTTCCATACATTTAAAACTGCCACAATCATAGCACTCATGTCTTGATAATATTATAGCAAGTAAAGCCTAAAACCAATGTTTTCCGTGAATAATTTTAAATAAGAATGCAATTCACGAATTAATTTTAAGTGTTTATTATTTAAAATAAAAAAACATATTAGTTCCGACGTTATTGTAGCTCAAAGAGACCCTTTCACAGCGCTCGCATAGCGCTGTTAGTCATGTTGTCGGATTAGGTTGTGGAATTCCTTCAGGCAGTGCATCGCCACAAATGTTAACCTTTGCTTTTTTGCATTGCTAGTCCCCATCTGTAATGATATCTGGAGTTTAGTATTACTGTTTAGCGTATACAACGTGACAAGTAGATATACCATTCAATTTCAATAACATGTATTCTGCAATAACAGAACATCAACAAATGACCTACAACATATTTCCAATATAGGAAAAATTTTCATCATCTACAACGTTACTAGTTAAGATGTCCCGATGATACTTCGATTTTCTTACAAGAATAACGTGACATATAAATAATTTATCTTTTACTTTGCTTTTTGTTTTAGAAGAACACTGTGATAAGTATGACGTGCCACATTGTCGAATAAAATAAAAATATTTTAAAAACTTACCTTTGTCATCAATACCGCGGTATCCTCGAGATGTCACGTTTTTCTTAAAAACGAAGAGCACCTCACATCTCAAAGCGCAGGTGGCAACTGAACTGTCACAGTGTCGAAGCCAACTAGATCGCCGAACGAGCCAGCGCTATAACGTAATATTTTGTCTCTTTCTCTCATAGTATTGTTGTTTTTGGAGTAACAAATACCCTGTTTTTGGAGATAAAAGAACGCAAGATCGCGGTTCAGAATTTCGGTAAAACAAAAAATCGTATATGTCGAGATGTCACAGTGTCGTCGCAAATGGGCGATATGTATAAGTATGGCTAATGGCCAGGTGTGAGATATGTTAAAAAAGCGTACAAAATTTTACTAAGAAAGAATATTGAGTAACCCTGACTGAAAAAATAAAAACTACTAGATTTAAAAAAAATGGATCAGTCAACAGCTGCCACTGGACCAGGGGTGATTCACTGTTTGTACTCCGAATGAGTGCCGTGACGTCACCGAGCAAATGGCGCGAAATATTTGTTATGCACAACTTTCCGGCCCTGTAACTTCTTTATTTGTAGATATATTTTCAGGATTCTTTGACAATCATTATTCATCATCATCATCATTTCAGCCATTGGACGTCTACTGCTGAACATAGACCTCACCCTATGCTTTCCATGTTGATCTTCCATCCATAACCTTAACTTATCGCTCTCCTATCCCAAACACACTGTATATCTAACTAGCTTTCCCTATTTTTTTCCAAAATAGAATTTAGCCTATGTTACTCGTGGATAATGTAGCTTTCGAATGGTGAAAGAATTTTTAAAAACGGTCCGGTAGTTTTTGAGCCTATTCATTACAACCAAACAAACAAAGTTTTCCTCTTTATAATATTACTAGCTTTCCGCCCGCGGCTTCGCCCGCGTGGAATTTTGTCTGTCACAGAAAAACTTTATCGCGCGCGTCCCTGTTTCAAAAACCGGGATAAAAACTATCCTATGTTCTTTCCCGGGACTCAAACTATCTCTATGCCAAATTTCTTTTTTCTAAGTCGATTTTTTATAGTGGTTTGTACTTTTGTTAAACTTTGGCGGCTAGTAACTAGCTATCCAATCATTAACTGGATCTAAAATTTATTTTATTTTACTAAATACATCGTTCGTTTCAGCCGAAAGACGTCCACTGCTGGACAAAGGCCTCCCCCAAGGATTTCCACGAAGACCGATCCTGTGCCGCTCGCATCCAGGCACCTCCCGCGACCTTCACACCAGATCGTCGGTCCCCCTAGTGGGAGGCCTGCCCACGCCTGACTAAAGACGTACATATTCGATATTAACATCAAATAAAAAAAATCGGTTGAAAAGAAAAGCGGAAAAAAATTTAAGCAGTTTTTAGGTCAAATTTCGGAAAAACCTAAATAAAAACAAAAATATCAATAAAAAAATCTGTAGCTCACTTAGGGTCAAATGGGCGAACTTGTAATCTTAAAATGACTTTACCTATACACCCAAGAAGTTTGTTTTAACCTTCCACCAAACACCCAGTATATTTATATCGTCGCTTTTTAAAAATACACATGAAATAAATAATAATGTGTATACCTACTTTAAGTTGTATGCTTAGACTACGTAAGCTTAGTTTAAAAATACAAATACTTCGATAGGTTTAGTATACTACAAGGTACTAACTAAGCACTTACGCCAACCGTAGTGAAGTTTTGGGATCTGCAGCGGCCTTAAGCCGATTACTAGGCATAAGTACCTATTAACTAGCATTTTCTATTGTTACGTACCTCCTTTCATTATTGTGTTCGCCCGCGCGAAATTTTGTCTGGCATACAAAAACTGGGGTAAAAACTGTTTTATATACTTTCCCGGGATTGAAACTACCTCTATACTAGGGATTCAGGAGCACAGAAGTAGGTAGGTATCTAATATCCGGGTAGAAGCCTGTTAAAATTGTTTGGTGGTATATTTGCTAACGAATTGAAATTGATATTGTAAAAATCTTGAAAAAAAAAAATCTGACTGACCTTCAATATCTCCTAAACCACATTTCCCAGGTATGGTCCCAAAGAAACAAATAACCCTCATGATGTGGAGAATAAGTAGCCTTTGGCTTCGGGATAAGTTTTTTTACACCCTGTCTGTAGAAGTTGCTATAATATTATAATAGTAAATTTTCGATAAATATCCACCTAAGGGCTACAAAATATGCGACCCTATCCAGCTCTGCCTAAAGTCGGTGCACTGTGGCATATTTTCTTATTCCATGCGTTCCGAAAATCCATAAATCCACTATAAACTCCACTCCAAGCTTCAACGATTTCAACATTCAGATCTTAATTCATTATTTTTTTACAACTTTGTAAAACAGTTTAAATTCTTTTGACGCAAGCGACGACTATTAACATTCAATAGGTAGGTATTTATTTGCTCAGTTGGTTACTTCTACGCCGCAAATAAAAACAATAGCGATAGTGTAATATAAACAAGAGAATGTAGATTAAAAATAGTGTCGATACAGGGGACGGTTGCCAAATGACTGCGCTCGATAGATATAAGAGCGTGTTTGTCCCAAAACAACACGGATCCAACGGATCTCACAACATTGTGGGCGGGCCTCGGCGCGCGCCTTCTATGATCCGCGAGCGCACGCGCGATGCGCGGATGGATGCGCCTTGCTGCGCCGCCGCGGCTCGTGCGGCCTCCTTCGCGCGGCCAACTTCCGAGCTGCTTGCTTATTTATTACCAAACCACTCGGTTTATTGTTAGGCATACGGTATCCTTCCGTTTGGCCAAATTACTTTTCGCCAAATTTCACTTCGCAAACAACTTATCGCCAAAGTTTCATTTCCCAAATGAACTTTTAGCAACTGTACTTTTCGCAACTAATTCTATTGGTCAAATTATATTTGGCAAATGTTGATATAGCAAATGTTTTATTTTGCCAAATATTATATTCCAAATAATTTGTTTGGTCAAATTGACACTTCACATACTTACTCACCGTTACCGACAAATCAAAGCAAGCACATGATCATGGTTTTCACAAGAATTTTATGTAAAACAAAGAGATTGCAGAAAGTATTTATTGCAGAAAATAGTGGGTTAGGTTAGTTTAGGTTAGATAGAACTGTTCTAGTTCTAGTTAGTGACCATTAACGCGCGAAGGCGAGCGAACGGAGCGAGCGAAGTAAGCGTGCCGCGGCAGCGGCTGACGAGCGCTAGAATCACCTCTATGATTCCGTGGAGGGTAGTTGAACGGGAAGCATGGTCGATCTGTTTTAATGGTGTCAATTTATTATTTAATGGACTTTAGTGTACAAATTTGGTGTTATTTTGTGTTCTAAAGTGTAGTGAAGTGATAAATTATAAAAAACATTGAAATACTTCGAATTTGAGCGCGCATCGAGTGTCGAGTGGGTTGTCGTATGAACAACCCGCTTTGGACCCGGTGGCGTCTCGAAACCTGCTTACGGGCATACTTAACTCCACGGAATCCATGAAAAATCAATAGAACTGAAACACCCACGTTCTATTGATAACTATGTCAATAATATTTTATCTTCGCCCGATGCTTTGTTTAAGGGTAAACTATTTACTATATCGTAAAACTCATCAAGGCTAGGAATAGAAGACACAGGCGACTCAGGCAGCACCGCAATAGCATTTCTGACGTCCCGATGATAATCGTTATCGTCAGACACACTATCGTCGGGTATAAGCGCGTTAAGAAGAGCACCTGTTGTTTCCTCTACACCCACCGTATGAGTGTTGTTAATTTTTATGTTAGAAATATAAGCAATATCTAATTTACGGTTAGCTTTGAATTCATGATATATCGGAGACCACGGACCCTCTTTTTCTAATCTCTCGACTGTTTTCCGCAGTAACACGCCCTTGGCTTTAGTTACAGCAGCTCGATAATGGGACCTGGCAACCCTCAAAGAACATAAAGCATTTTCATATGCATCCCCAGTAACATTTGCCTTTCGAAGTGTGTTGAGCTTACGGCGAGCCCGGCGAAACTTCTTCCTAATTTCTACCAGCGATTCATTCCACCAATCACATCTACGTACACCTCTAGTTGGAGCGCGACCAATCGCAACATCTGCACAATACGTAAAAGTATCGGACATAATTTCTGCACTATCAGTCGCGCTCAGGTCGGCACGAGTAAAATCTTTGGCATGAGACGCAAAAAGAGTACTGAAAAAAGCCCAGTCGGCCCCACGACATTTATATCTATAGTTGTTGTTGCACTCATGAACTGTGTCTTGTCGCGACATTGGTTTAGGTGGGCCATCGTGCGTGTTTTGTTTTCGATGTAAACTCGCGGAGATGAACAGGCCTGGTCATACGGTATCCTTCCGTTTGGCCAAATTACTTTTCGCCAAATTTCACTTCGCAAACAACTTATCGCCAAAGTTTCATTTCCCAAATGAACTTTTAGCAACTGTACTTTTCGCAACTAATTCATTTGGTCAAATTACACTAGTTTACAAGGTTTTTTACCCAGAGATGAAACTGATATGTATCGTTAGAGTTATTAACCCTTACTTAAAAACTGAACTTAGAAAAAATTTAGGACGTCAAATTTTGTAAATATTGATATTATTTTTTATCATTTTACTACATTTTGTGCACGACGGACGACCCCGGATAGAAATTTAAATAGTTGTAAATAGTTTTCGTTTTGTTTCGATTTTGTATCGTTTTTTAATAGTTTGACAGTAAATAGTTTAACTTCGTAATACAGTCCACTTTTCTTAGTTGGTTCTCAATTAGTAATGTGTCGAGTCCTTAATTACTGATTAATAGGCGTATGTGGGACGTTGGAGATGTATAAATCATAGTTTATTTTAGAAAAACATAGAAATGTATAATTTGATAGCCCTTTGTTTTATGTATATCGATTAAACCTATAGTTTCGTCTAGTTATGAATGTCGAGTCATATTTATATTATGTAAATTAGATAGATAATTATGTGTAGATCTTTATAGTTATTTACTTTTAATTGGTGATAATCTTAATTAGCCATAAAGGCAA